TACGACACGCAGTGCTCGCTGGCGGGGGGTGAGCCCCTCGTCCCGGGCTTCGCTCACCAAAGCGAGCTGAGGGCGGTGATAAACCGTTACCACCGGGAAAACGGGGGGTGACAATGGCCTGGGGGACCCATCCGGTTGACGGTGGGACACAGGCTCTGCTTGTCCTGCGGGTGACGGCCTGTCCTTGTCCCCGGCAGTGGGGGAGCTGGAGATGGGTGATTGGCAGGAGGTGTGGGACGAAAACACCGGCTGCTACTATTATTACTGGAACACCCAAAGCAACGAGGTGACCTGGGAGCTGCCACAGTACCTGGCGACGCAGGTCCAGGGCCTGCAGCACTACCAGCACAGGTAGGAGCGACCCCTGGCCCCGTGGGGACGTTGGCCCCGAGCCTGCCCTTCACTCTTCCTCTTCCTCAGCAGCACCGTGGCGGGTGCCAACGGCAGCTTTGTAGCAACCACGGAGCTGTACCCCCAGGAGCCCGTGGCGGGTTCCAACGGCAGCTTTGTAGCAACCACGGAGCTGTCCCCCCAGGAGAAGGGAACGGCCCCGGGCAGCGCTGGCCGTGGGGCCAACCTCACCAAGCGGGAGGTGAAGAAGGTCAGTCCGGCAGGCCGAGCACCGCGTTCTGGTTCCCACAGGGCTTGTAGGTGCCCCTTTGGGCTTCCCTGGCAGCGGGTGGGTCGCTCAGCTCCATTTGTAGCCTGAAGAGGGGCCCCATCAGCCCCCCCTGCCCCGGGCTCCCGTCTGCTGTGGGCTGTGGTCTCCACTGCGTGGGGTTGGGGTGAGGGGGCAGGAGTGACGGCTGCTTCTGAAAAACTCACGTGGGGCTGGATCTGCAGGAAGTGAACGAGGGCGTGCAGGCCCTCTCCAACAGCGAGGAGGAGAAGAAGGGGGTGGCCGCGGCTCTCTTGGCACCGCTCCTTCCCGACGTGGTGAAGGAGGAAGAGGAGCGCTGGCGGAGAAAAGTGATCTGCAAAGAGGAGGTTGAGCCGCCCCCAGAAGAGGAGGCGAAAGCGGAAGAGACAGCGGGTGCCTCTGAAGAGCCAGAACCTGTCGGGGATCCCCTGGAAGACACGCTGCAGGAGGATCTGTGCAGCGTGGTGCAGTCGGGGGAGAGCGCTGAGGAAGAGGAGGAGCAAGACACCCTCGAGCTGGAGATGGTGCTGGAGAGGAAGAAGGTGGGAATGTTTTTGTCAGGAAAATGCGGCCGCAGATGCAGCCAAGAAATAGGTGGAGATAAACCGGGAGCAGCAGATGTTTGTCTCTGTCCTCTTCCCTTTGGGAGAGGGACCCCGTGTTTCCCGTGCTCCACCTTTGCTCCCATCGCGCAGAGCAGCTCTTGGCTCTTGCACGGGCGATCCGTAACGGCGGCCGCTTTTCGGGCGAGGCTGAGGTCCCTCTGTCGTGTCTCTTGGCAGGCAGAGCTGCGTGCCTTGGAGGAAGGTGACGGCAGCGTTTCAGGCTCCATCCCCGAGGGGAGCCAGTCGGCCTCGCAGGATGCCACCCGCAGGCTGGCCTCTAAGCGAGGGAAATGGAAACTGTTTGTTGGAGCTGCCAGCCCTGAATCCGCAAGTCGAGGCTCCAGCAAAACGGGCCGGGACAGCCCGGAAGCGGGAGAAGCAGGTAATTGGAAAGGCTGCCTTCGGAGGGAGGAGCGGGTGTGTGGAAAGGTGGCGGCGCGGAGAGGAGCTGGGTGAGGTACGTGTGCTGGGCAGGGCACAGGCCCGGAGGGGTGGCTGTCACTGCTGTCACGTAGCCGGGCTCACGGGCTCCGGGGATCAGCTGATGTTCTGCCGAACCCTCTGCTGTAATTAAAGAAAATAAATGGGAGAGCTTTGCATTGAAGGATGCATCAGGAGGACAGG